AACTCTAGGTTTAGGATACATTGCATGGGTCTCGTTCCACTGGACTTTCTTCTCTTCACCCTCAGTGACACTCCCCTTCACCAGCACAATCTTACATCCACTTTGATCAGCCTCTTTGCTCTCCAATGTTGCACGGCTGCAGCTTCTCAGCAGCATATAGACACTATTGCCACTCACAATTGTTGTTGGTCGCGATGTGTCCTTCATTTCGTTACCACCTTCCTTCAGCAGCTGCGTGTGAAAGGAACCTGTGCCTGCACCCATCGGAATCTCAGTCGGTTCTGTTCCAATTTCCTTGAGGTGCTGTGATACGATGCCAGTGAAGCTGTCAACTCCATTCTTGCACTGGGCCTCAGCAACGGCAAACACAGCACCGTCCACCTCCACAAGGCTGGGGACACGAAGCGAGCGAACTGACCCTTCAACGCATTGCATTCCCTCCCATTTGGCATCAGTTATCGGTGTCGTCCCTGTGAATAAATTAACGGCCGTCCCTGGGGCACTTCCCGCAGCTTGACTGCCACAGCATGTCAAGAGCACAAACAGCAGCAGCACCAAATAAGAAAACAGGTGCCGGTACATCTTGGGCATGTGTCGCTGCTTACTCACACTCTCTTCCCTCGTTGTGGTGGATCCGCTCAGGCAGTAAGCGCGAGTGTGTGTGTGTGTGTGTGTGCTGGTGGTGGCGGTGGTAACTGCAGAGCGTTTCAATGTGCACAGCAGCAAGTAGTGTTTGTTCTCTTTCCTTCCGAGGGCGTTGAGGAAAAAAAGTGAGGTGAAACCAGAAAAAAAAAAACGATGGGCAGCGCCCGCACCCACAGTTGGGCACACCGGAAAGAACAGTGGCAATCCACAACGAAGGCCGCACCGACAAACACGTGGGCCGCATGACCTCACACTCGCCGCCCCCCACAAGAGACGGCAGCCGCAAAGAAGGCGGCGATAGCAGCGACTGTTGTGCGCGGCCCTAAAAAAGCACCACCCGCACCTGCACGGAGAGTCCACAGTGTGGGATGCCCCGCAGAAATCAAACAATAAAAAAATAATACATAAGCACCTCGCTTACCGTCTCCCCCGCCCAGCCCCTTCAAACCCCGCCAGCAGCAACACACAGTGCGCATGCCGGCGGGACCTCCCATCACGGTTCCCACAAAAACCCCAACGCCCCCACTTCCCTCAGCGCACTGCAGCAGGAGTGGGGTGCAGCGTAACAAGAAAATTGAAATAAACAATAAAAGCAATACAAAATAACAATAATAAATGGCGGCGGGCGTTCGTCTCCATCTTCTCCAAGCGATACCCGGCATCAAATGAAAGAAAAAAAACACCACATTACGCACGCTGCATATGCCTTCCCTCTGCAACCAGAAAAACAAGGTTCTGTAGTTATGTCACCGCCACTACCAACAACCCAAACGCAATCGCCTGCTTCCCAGCAACGCCGCGGTGCTCGTGGAAGTGAAGCACCTCAAAGAGGCTGAAGGGAAGCAAAAAGACGTTTCACTCACTGCACACGGTATTTACGTCTTCATACAACACCGCCACATGGTACTGACGCGCCGTGCTCTTCCAAAAGGTCCTGTTCCTTTTATCCTCCGTACTGGCCTAGCTGCCGGAGTCCCAACCGTCGTCCTCCACGGTGCCTCAACAAAGAAAAAGACTTCCACAAGCGGAAAGCCTTCAGCACTCGGCGCATTGCATCAATCTTCCCAGGATGAAGCACCTTCGGCGGCAGCGCAACCGCGTCGGTAGGGCACAACGGTGGGTTCATTTGCAGCAGGCATGGCCGTGGCCCGCACCCTCCTGCTGGGGTTAGAGTCCGCAGCTCGCTCAGCTTATCGCGTATCCTTCGCACAAAGTCCCCGTACATGAACACGTCTATTGCGTACCCCTACACTGCGGAGGGCAGCAGCGCAGAGTACGGCATCAGCACCGTCATGAAGTCGAGACGCGACCGCATCACCTTCGCCACGCACACCAACACGTCGGCACTGAGCGAAGCGGAACCCGGGGCGTTCTGGAAGCACTCTGTTGCCCGTCCCGTCACCACCCGCTCCATCTTCGAGTAGTCTCCAGTCGGAACGCTGCAAGACCACACAAATCCACCTTGTCCAGCCCAACGTAAAAATTCACAGCCCACGTCGTGAGTCGGTCGATGTGCGTATGAAGCTCACGCACAACTCCATTCCCGTAGCGACTGAAGGCGTAACGCCGGACTGGTCCCAAGCGACTCATGCGTCTCTCGGCCTCGCTTAACTGCTCCGCCTGCCCCTCCGCAGGCTCTCCCCGTGCATCCTCCAGGCACACACTACCGTCACATCTCTCTCATCAGGGCCGCTCATGATGATCCGGGGGGCGCCCATGTCCTCCTCCCAGTCCCTGTAGCGAGTTTCGTTTAGGGACGACACGGCAAGCATGCCCCACCCAGTGGGAGGCATTTTGGCGGGCAACATCTTCCTCCACCCCATCACGTCGCAGACAATATACCCCCTCATCTGCACGGAGACCTCCAAATAAACTCTCCATCGCCGGAGTCGAACATCCGAGCGAAAACACCGTCTTGGTGGTCTTGTCAAACAGAAACGCTCGCTCCCCAATGAAGCACGCCACCGCGTGGAGCTGCTCGGCGTCGTAGTGCAGCAGCTGGTAGAGAAGGCACGAGCAAGCATCCACCGACTTCCCGATCCCGGGCGTCCCGATCAAGGCACGCAGCACAGACGCCGAGTTCGCCCCGCCGTGCGTGCCAAACAGCCCGGCCAGATCGCCCTCAACGATCTGCCACGCCCGCTCCACCTCAGAGTACACACAGCAGTCAGAACCACATCCTTGCAGCAGTGCGTACGGCCACTTCTCGGAGGTGAGCACCACCAGACTGGGACGTGGTGGGCGGAACTGCGCTGCACCGTCATCCATGAGAACAGTCGCCCCCTCCACCTTTTAATCCCACGGCTGTGGTGGCCTGCCTTCCCTCAGCTCCATTCGCATCCCTCCTCGCCCGTCAGAAACTTCCATGACGTGACCCCACCCCGCATGGCAGGCATCCTCGTAGTGTCCCTCCAACTTCTTCAACGTGAAACTCACCACAGACGTCTTGCGCCACCACCGCAGCGCCACGACAGACGCTGACGTGCGCAGTCAAATAATTAACCAGCCGTCGCAGCAACCACGCGGCAGCGGCGCACCTTTTTTTCGTTTTCTTTTGGATTCCCGTCTCTCACCCAGCAGTAGGCGTCGCGCAATCCGACGCCCAACGCAGACGCATCTTTCCACGCTCGTTCCAAGCTCCCAAAAAATATCCGTGTCGCGCCGCCCAAGATTCTCCCAGTGCTGGCCGCCTCGCCCTCTCTGAGGAGTGGTCTACGGCGCGTTCACTGACGGGCCACGCAGCGGTCACCAAAAAAGGATGCGAAAATAAAACACGCGCACGCCTCGTATGAGCAGCCCCGGTGGAAGCGTTCCCTGGCAGCCGCAGCAGCAGAAAACGGCCGCTTATTTTGGGGTCTGGCTGGGGGGGAAACGAGGCGGCAGGGGAAGATGCGTTGGGTGGCCCTACCAAAAATGCGGGCCGCTACTCCTCCTCCTCCCACCCACACAGACAGACAGTCAGACGGCACTGCCAGCAGCTGTGGTTTATTAACAGCCAAAAGGAGGGCACAACGTGCGAAGGCGCACACCCCGAAGCATCGGCCGTGCTCCACTCCCACTCCCGCGAACCAGGAATAGCCCCCAGCAGAACCGTTTCCCACTGAGGCGCAGCATCCAGTCAAGCACTAAAGCAGCAAGAACGAAGAGGTGAGGGAAGAGTCGATGCCTTCAGTCTCTCCCATAAGCGAAAAAAAAAAAAACTCCCCTCAACGCCAGACTATCTACCACGCGCCCCGAACCCAACACAGCAACAGACGGCTACGCACCCCCGTTTTCTCCATGGCGTGTGAGTGACGGTGAAAAGGTGGAGACGCGGCCGGCATCTTGCGTTGTCCCTCAAAAAAAACAATCTTTTCCCGGCCCACCCTTAGCGACTCCTGCGCATACGCAAAGCAATACAACAGGAAAAAGATGATGCACAGCACACTCACCATACGCTGCAAACCACAATGCACGACCCGGCCATTCCGTCCGAACGCTCCAACAAACATAAAAATACACAAACCCCGTGAAGTGAAGCCAAAGCGTGGGGCACCCACCGAGCAGTGGGGACGCGCAGCAGCAAGTGGGCCGACCAGCAAGCACACACACTCCCTCCCTTCCGGTGCAGCCCAATCCAGGAAGAGGAAGGGAGAAAGAAAGGCCGCCCACCGAAAGCAATCAAAACCAAAACAATTGAAATGATTAAAGCAGTTACGGTGCTGTACCCATGCAGCCAAGCAGAACGGCAGCGGCCCCTCAAAAGCAAAATAATTAAAACAAAAAGGAAGACCAACGGGCTGCATGAGTGTGCGTGTATGCATGAGCACATTACGTGTGTGCCTCGTGGGGTGGGGCGAGGGCGACAGTCCGTGCGGGAGGACACACACAAAGAGAGAGAAATATATATATATTTAAGCGAAGGACGAGCTGCGCACCGCTCCCTCACGCCGCCGTCATCGCAGCAGACACTGCACACGCAAAAAGCAGAAGAAGCGCAAGGGGGGAGGTGCAGTGCAAGGCCGCGCTGCCGCCGTCACTGTCGCCATGCGTCGCCTTCGTTGTTTTGGTGGTGGCGTTGGCAGCTGGCGCTGTTGCTGTTCCCTCCGCACCGCCTGTCGCTCCATCTTCAACTTGACTTTGGCTGCTGCCACCTGACTGTAAGTTAGCCTCTTTCTTTCCATTTGACGCTGCTGGCACCTCCTCCGGATTTGAAGTTTTTGCTCCGCCTGTCTCTCCCGATGGATTTAGCGGTAAGTTATCAGTTTCCAGTTTTGTGGATACAGTAGAGGCATCCTGCCCCAGTTGTTGACTTACTTGTGAAACTTTTTCCTTGGGGTCGGTGGCACTGCTTGCCTTCTCATCATTTTTTTGAGCCTGATTCTCAGCCTGACGTTGTTCACTCTCTGCCTGCAGACTCGCCCGCAGCAGCTGCACAAACTCCGGCTTGCGGCCACAGTACTTCGCCCGAATCTCCACCTCGCTCATGTCCCTCGTGACCGTCCTCAGGTCCCTCCAGTCACTCTCCGTGCAGTAGCCGCCACCCCCACGCACCGACACCGCCGCCGCCGCCGCACAGCACGCAGAGGGCACACACCAACAGCACACGGCCAGCCATCCCCACTCTTGTCACAGCAGCAAAGACACACACACACGCACAGTCTAGCAAGGGGCAGAGAGAAGAGAGGAGGGTGAGAAGAGTAACACACAAAAACACTGAGAGATGACAATGACAGACAAACCACTCGAAGCCGAACGTCACACACACCGCAGCAGCCGCACCATCGCCACTCGCACAGCTCATTTATTGTCCGCCCACTCCAAAATACGCACCCACCGTGCAAGGGCGAAAGACACGCGGAGGAGAAGCCGGCCCCACAGCGCACCCACACACCCGCAACGCGAAGGACGGGGCGAATCCACGCCCACCGCACAGTCTGCCGCTGCCGCACATTTGCCCTCACCGATCCGCATCACGCCGCACGGCAGGCTGCGATGGGTGATGCCCCACACACTCGCAGCGAGACACGCCACACACCCCGTCTGTTCTCTCCCTCCACAGCGGGCGCCTTCAAAGCGGCCGCCACACGCCCCACCACTCCCGTGCCATCGCAGCGAAAAAATAAAAGAATCCTCCTCGTGGACTACCGGTACCTCTAGCAGGAAGAAGAGGAATTAAGGCATGCCAGCAACACAGCCGGCAGCGGGAGCAAACACGACACGGCGACATGCAGCGACGGTGGCGGGCACGGCACCCACTAAAAGAGAGCTGCAGTCATTTGACTCGAAAAAAAAAGGAGAACAAACAACACAAAATGTTTCGGCAGATGTTTTTTGTTTCACGTGTCCAGAAGCAGAAAAGAGCAGCGTGTATTCATTGTCCGTGCGGAACACACAGGAAAAAAAAACTGCCTGGTCGCACATTGCGCATTTGCCCCTTACGGTCTCCGCGGCCTCGTGTTTCGTTTGGGCACTCCGTGAAGCGTACAGCAACGAGACCGGCATCGCGTGTGTATCGATGGCAGCAGCAGACAGGAAGGGGAAGGGGCGCCACCCACTGAGAGTGTGCACGGAGTGACGATGCAAAAAAAAAGAGCAAAAACATCCCTCACACCACAAGAGAGACGTTGGCCCAGAGGAAACACAAGCAAACTGAGCGCACAAAAAGTGTGCGTCGTCCCTGCCAGGGTGTGTGAGTGTGTGTGGTTGCGCCTCATCATTACCCAGCCGCACAGGCAACGGCAGCGGTAGCGGTGAGGCATGCACCCACACAGCTGCGACGTCACTGCTGCCCACGTTGTCTGTTGTGTGTTTCCCGGCGCTGAGACTGTTGGGGTCACAGTGGTGCAGACCCTCTTGCAGGCGTTTCCTTTCCGAGTTGAACCCGAACTGCCTGCGCCCCCAGCAGCAGCACGGGGGAACAGCAGCCCTCGCCCACTGCTAACTGCATCTTCTTCTGCAGGAGTGTCCCCTGCAGCAGGTGCTGAAGATGCTGTCGGCATTCCTTGATGCCGTGATTCAGGCCAATTTTCTCTGCCCCTCAATTGTTGGGCCGCAACTTGCAAACGCCCAAAATGCCAAGGTGCACGTCACCCACAGCAGGACGGTATGAAACAACAGAAAAAGAGGCTCCTCAACACCCTGCCACTTTCGCCGCAGCGCACTGCCCTGCATCGCACAAGGCGCCGTGAACGCAGCATGCCCCCGTGGCACCGGCCCTCCTGCAGCGCGATCCACAACGGCTGCCCAAGTACGTCGATTCGGCAATGAAGCAGATGCTGTCACCACCGTCGCCCGCAGTCGCCTCGGGAATGTCAAAAGGTTCAAGCCGGTGTGCGCAATTTGTCTGTTTCCTCTAGCCACAAACACGCCAACCCAACTCTTTGTCATTACCCGACCACGACACCTCCACCAACGTACTTGCTGGCGACGCACCGCCACTACGCCCCGCCGGTGCCCCGCAG